CTAGTTCTGTGTTCTATGGTGTCTTCACTCTGCAGGCTTGTCAGCACAAGAGATGCTCTTTTATGAACTCATATGCCTCATGCATGCTAACACTGTCTTTGGTAGCTGGTGTGGATTCTGATGCTTTCCCTCTGTATACGTACCCCATCCTAACAGTATTAATTGAAAATGAGATCTAGATAAAATTCATCGATAAAACTGATGAATTAATATATTAAGGGAATTATAATTCCTTGCACTGACTGGATTGTATGGAAAGACTGGAAGGGTGGTACTGGTTGAGACACCCACCTGAAACAGCGATTGTTTGTTTGGACTCATCAGTATGCATTCATACCAATTACAGACAAGTGAGTGTATGGCAGGAAATCTGAATTAAACACTCTGCCCCTAAAATACAATTATAAAGAATTGTAGCAAATAAAATCCGTGATGCTTCCTTATACTGTCATGCAGGTGGGTGACAGCCCTACTGCTCTTTATTTCAAGGAGCCTTGCTGCTGACATTAATGCCAATGTTAACATAATTTTTTTTCTTCCTCTACTCTTTCCCAATATTCAAATATATGGGAATATCTTTTCTGATCTATCCCAAATGTATAAACTGGTGTCTGAGTTGTAGAACTGCCTGAGTAGTGTAACAATAACTTGAGCATGGGTCAGGTTTGGCTGTTTGCCAGTTTGGATGTATGCTGGAGAAATCCGTCTTGGTAAGACTGGAAATAGTCTGTTCTCCAAATGCTGCCTGTTTGTGTTTTCTTTTAAGTCTTAATGTCTGTTTTTAGACCGTTATTCTAGGCTTCTCTGGCAGCTGTTTCTTCTCTGCCAAATAAGTAATTTGTTATCACAATCCTAAATATTCTGAGAAGTAACTAATATGTTACGTGGGCCTAGTACCTGTTTGCTGTATGATTTTTGTATTGTATAGCTTTTATAGGTTCCCCCTCTCTGTTGTTTAATCTGTTCTGCGGTCTGCTTTACAGGTAAAAAGAAAAACCTATGCTTCTGGTTTATTTCTTTGATTACTGATTATGTTTAGTAAACGAGTTACTGATTATAGGTTATGTCTGATTTACTGATAATGTCTAAGACGACGGCTGGTACAGAATGACGTTTGATATTTGCTAGACTTCGTGTTAGATGTGCTACAGAAAAAAACAGAATCTGGGAGTTGAATTCCTTCTATTCCTTTTTCTTCCATACTCTGTGGTGTTTGTAGAGGATGATGGAGAGCTCTCTTGCACAGTACAGTGCTTGGGCTGTTGCAAATAGAAGGCCAAGATATAAATAATTAACAGTGGGAAGATTACTGCTGTCAGGGAACAGAGCAAAGTGGTAACCTCCTTGCCCACTGCAAGCGCAAACCAACCGCTGTGTCTAATATTGTGTATCATACTCCCTCAGGAGAGAATCTCATCCGAATATCTGACAATATCGGGGCTCAACTTTACTGTTGTCTTGAAGAGATTTTTCAGAAACTTACTGCAGTCGGTGGAAAGACATAGTTGCTTCCTTAAGGCAGTAGCTGGTTTAAGTTAGGACATCAAATACGTGCTCAGAGGACTGCTGTCGATGGCTGTGTCTGTGTGCTCAGAGATGCAAGGGGTGAGCTCTAATCCTTCATGATACAGTTTCTGCTTTCCAGAGTCTTGCAAAGAACCTAAGCAGCTGCTGGGAGTTTAGCTAGCTAGCAGAACTGTACTTACCTCTTCCTCGGGTGCGGGCCTGCTCACTATTCGCGGTGTCTTCCAGAGGGCCTTTAGCATGGGTCCAGGGGATGTGGCACCTGTGAATCAGCATCATACCAGGCTGATGTGGGGGCTAGAAGCACATGTGGCTGCTTTGAGCCAAACTCTTCCTGGAAGAACAAAACACCATTTGTTTTCTAACAGAAACTTCATTACAAAATGTAAACAGTGAATAGGCTGAATATTCATTTCCAGAGTACTTTGTTAGCATGTTTTGATCTTGTGCATTAGAGGAATTGTGTATGTCACTATTAATTTGGTGTGTTTTGAAATGTATGTAACTTTATACCATTGTTAAAAGCTATGAATGGATGAAGCAAATTTGCTTTGCCACAAGTAAGAACCTTTAAAAGAGAAAAACTTACTTACTGTCTTGAGTAACAGAGTAGGCTGTCCTCTGTATTAATTTATACTGTTAAGGGAGACCAGAATAAAAGTTAGTAGAAGAAATAGGTAATTTGTCCTTCTGTCTTGTGGTGGTGTTTTCAGATCCTGAGTATGGGAAATAAATTGAAATGCAGAAAGTGATTCTGGCAGCTGGTAAGGGAGACAAGGGTTTAGTACAAAAAAACCCATCAAATAAATTAATATACAGAGTTCAGATGAGTCTGTTAACAAATACCCAGTGATTCTGAATCTCTCTGGGGACAGGTGTGGTTGAAGAAATGTATGATGAACATCACTGGTTTGTTACTAGGGCAATACTGTTCTTTAGTGAGGCTGCTAGGTTTCCACAGGGGCATCCGACAGGAGAGGACAAGTCTCCAGGACCTGTAAAGAGGGTCCACTTTGGAGGTTGTTGGAGCCTGGGCTTATGTCCATGTGGCTTTCATGGGTGCCTGTGGTGAATTATTATTAGAGGGACCAACTCAGTATTTTGACTCACTTTGTTCTGTAACTGTTGCTTTGATGTTTAGTTTCTCAAACCTTACCACTTGCTTAAGTGCTTACTTGTTTTCAGAGGTTCTTTAAATCCTAGATTGATGGGTGATCCCTTCTACCTTGTCTTCACTTGCAGTTTGTCTTTGCATGTAAAAGGTACCTCTGTCTGCTGTCTGTGAGTGAGTCTTACCGATAAAACAATTTAGAGACAAGACCTTTAGAGCTAGGTGAGTCAGTCACTCAGTACAACTCTATAGTTCATCTTCTGTGTTTGTCTTTTTTTGGTTTGTTGTCGCCTGGCTGTACAACTTGAGTGCTTGGTCGTACACAAATTCTGCTTCTGTAGCATTATACCAGGAAATGCACTTGCATAATTAGCCAGGCTGCAGAACAAGCAAACTTTTGTAGTGAAAAAACGATGTTTTGTTTTACACCAAAAAAATATTGTCAACACCACTGCAGCAAAACAACTGTTACTCTGTTCTCAGAAGTGTCCTGAGCGTTGTGTTTGTGTACCCTCACAACTCAGCAAATTTAGAAGACTTATGAAACCACAGATATTAAATAGAGAACTCTTCTTGGCAGGAGTGAGTGCCTCATGTTGTGTTGTTTATATCAGGAGCTATTGTTTCTGAAGTGTGCCTGTTCCAGCTGGGAGAGGTACAGCTTTTTCTTCAGCTAGGAAAAGTGCTTTAACTTCTTTCCAAATAATTTGGATTCTCTCACTTTGCCCTCTGTGTCTTTCAACAAGGGACGGCAGAGAAGGCTTAGATTCAGAAGATTTCACGACTTCCATGAAATTCTTGCTTTTGCATACTACTCTATTGCTTGGTTTTCTGTTTTGATACAGAATACTTGGAATAAAATAACATAACAGATTGTGTGGAAGATTTTTTTTGCTTAGTCTCCTAAGAGTTGACTGCCCATCTTGGAGGTTGCAGTCAGGACACTGATAGTGTTCAGCTGGAGGGTGCCAGCGCTAGCAGAATCCAGCTGTTGGTTTTAGCATCTTTTACATTCAAAATAGGATGTAAGAATTGTTATTTAATTTAAAAGATCACCATATCAATTACCAGCTGTTTATTGACTGCTATTTAGTAAGAAAACCAAACTCTGTTTCAACCTCTCTGCTCCTGTTGATGTAGAAATGTTTGTAATGTTTCTGTTCAATGCTATGACTTCAGTGTCTCAGAACAGTAATAGAAAAGGAAGGCTTCCCCCCCCCCCACCTTTCCAACAGACAAACCATGATGGTGGGACTTGCGTCTGGATTCACTTTAGCCTGTAGAATGGTAGAATGAGTCTGCATTTGAACCAAAGTTAATGGCTTTGTGTTATCCCTCTGAGCTTTTATACTTGCGTGGTGGTATTGTCCAGTTCTCATGTCTGAAAAATAATGGAGAAGTATGTCTGTTCAGCTTTGTAAGTGAGCTGCAGCAAGGAGTTGAGTTCTGAATTTTGAATTTGAATCTTGCTACTACTGTTCAGTTTTAAATGTGTTGTTTAACAAGTAGATATAGGCAAAGGCATTTACAGATGAGAATAACCCATCTGTAAAGTGCATCACCTTTTCTAACTACTAAAGAGCTAGAATTAGTTGGGTCTGGGTTAAAGGGCTCAAACTAAACTCAGAGTTGTGGTTCAAGTTGGTTTTAGTCTGTCTGCTGCTCTAAGAAGTAACATGAATTCAACTACCAAACACACAAATGACTAATTGTAATTTCCCAGAAGTTGTTAGCAGGTAAGGAATACCTTGTTTACTACTAATTGGTAACTTGTTTACGTACATCAATCTGCAACTTCTCTTTAAAACTGATAAAATATTGGTTATTTTATATTTAATTTTACATTTGGTAAAGCTTAGCAGTATCACTGCAGAATGCAGATTACTATAAAACAGATATGTTGATTTTTGCACAGGTCTCGTCAGTAATTTATTTATTTATATACTTTTATCTAGAAAAGACCTCAATTATAGATTTCTGTCACCCACAAGGTAGCAATTTTCTTTCTAAATAGGCTACTGTCATATAGGGTGAGTATAGATTTGATTACTTTAGGGCTTTGCATTGTTATTGGTAATTTATGCTAAGAAAGGGAAAAGAGCAAACTTACATTATTCCTTCTTTGTTGTGTTTCTGGCTGATTTTGAGAATTGTCTACCTGCTTTATTGCATTTGTGGCAAGGGGAATGGAATGGGTACAGTTAGCTGCACTTTCAAAGCACTGACCGTTAATGTCATCTCTTCATTAATATACATAGGCGATAACTGAACTGAAGGAATTGCCGTGGGCCATTAGGAAAATGATTCCTTGTAACTCATTTGTTAGTGATGAAAAACATTTACAAATGTTTTCCTTATTCCACAGCTTCCATTTGAAATGGAAATTTATTACATCCAGCATGTGATGCTTTATGTTGTGCCCATTTATCTGCTACGGAAAGGAGGTAGGTTGGCAATTTACTCTATATGTATTAAACTGGTTCCATGGAATGGAAAAGCTGTGCTGAATGCTTATCACAGGCTTTACTCATACTCTTTTTTTAATTTGTTGTTGCTTAATAGTTGCTGGAGTTGTAACCCGGGTGATAAAGTCTTGTGTTAGGCACTGATAGCCCCAAAGGGCTATCAAGAATGTATTGGTGTGTTGTGCACTTTCTTCCCGAGTAGCATCTCTTCCACCTTACAACATTCTAAGTTGTTGGTGTGATGTATTTTTAAGACTTTTGCCTTCTTGGATGTCTCTTGAGAAGTACTGCAACTTAAAATGAGATGAAAAAAAAAAATTATTTTATCCCCACATAAATATCAGTCGGCTAGTTAGCTAAATTCCTGAAATTCTGAAGCTCTAATGAAATGTAGTGACACATACTAGTGAAATGAAGTAGCTTGTTTGTTATCTGTTCTAACAAGACTGCTAGCTTGCAATCACTTATGCCAGTTCAGTAAATCGGGGAATCCCAAATTGTTCGGAGGAAGGGAATGCTGTATGTATTCATCTGGTGTGATGCTCCGCTCCCCTCTAGCGTTGACGTGCCTCCAGCTGCATTTCCTAGCAGAGCTGAATTGTTTCATCCAGGAAACAAGAGGATAATTTATGGTCAGTTGCTTTTAAAGAAAAGCAAGAATGTGATGTCAACTAATGGGATACAATTTATCAAATGCTCAGAACAACCATAGTCAGCCTCTTCCACCCTGATGAATTTTTTGTGGTTTATACCAGCAGTCACTTATCGTGTAATCACAGACTGGTTTGGGTTGGAAGGAACCTTAAAGATCACCCAGTCCCACCTCCCTGCCCCGGGCAGGGACACCTTCCACCAGCCCATGTCCAACCTGGCCTTGAACCCTGCCAGGGAGGGGGCAGCCACAGCTTCTCTGGGCAACCTGTGCCAGTGCCTCACCACCCTCACAGAGAAGGATTTCTTCCTTGTACCTAATCTGAATCTCCCCTCTTTCAGTTTAAAACTGTTACCCCTTGTCCCATCCCTACACTCCCTGATGCAGAGTCCCTCCCCCCTTTCCTGTAGCCCCTTTAAGCACTGGGAGGCCGCTCTAAGGTCTCCCCGGAGCCTTCTCTTCTCCAGCTGAACACCCCCAACTCTCTCAGCCTGTCCTCACAGGGGAGGTGCTCCAGCCCCTGATCATCTTTGTGGCCTCTTCTGGACCTGCTCAAGCAGGTCCCTGTCCTTCTGATGTTGGTGCCCCCAGAGCTGGACACAGCACTGCAGGGGGGGTCTCACAGGAGCAGAGCAGAGGGGGAGAATCCCCTCCCTCACCCTGCTGCCCACACTGCTCTGGATGCAGCCCAGGACACGGTTGGCTTTCTGGGCTGTGAGCGCACATTGCTGGCTCACAGTCAGTTTTCCATCCACCAATACCCCCAAGTCCTTCTTCTTGGGGCTGCTCTCAATCCACTCCTCGCCCAGCCTGGATTTGTGCTTGGGATTGCCCCGACCCATGGGCAGGACCTTGTACTTGGCCTTGTTGAACTCCTTGAGGTTTGCAGGGTCCCACCTCTCCAGCCTGTCCAGGTCCCTCCAAATGGCCCATCCCTGCCCTCCAGCTTGCCGACTGTACCACACAGCTTGGTGTCCTCTGCAAAGTTGCTGAGGGTGCACTCAATCTCACTGCCCATGTTGCCAAAAAAGATTTTAAACAGCACCAGTCCCAATACTGAGCTCTGAGGAACGGCAGTTGTCACTGCTCTCCACTTGGGCATTGAGCTGTTACTTATTCATGCTTATTTGTAATCATTCACTCTTAGTTCATGATAGGGTTCCAACCTTTTTGTGTTTCACTGCTGAGTGAAACTAAAGAAACATGTTTTCAAAAGATGATTCTGTTTCTTTCTCTTACCAGAGAAGTATGCCAGCCACATTTATTTTAATCCATCTTTGGTATCTTAAAATTTTGACAAATAATGCTAAAGTGTGGTACTGTTGTAGAAGTTACACAAATTCCTAATCTTGTAGGAGGGGGGAGAAAGTGTATACAGCCATGTAGTACACTATAAGCAATGATAAACCAAGCTCTTGTGGTGTCAGTAAATCTCTTCTTTTGATGGCCTTGAAGTCCCCATATAACATCTTTTTAAGACGTGTACTTTAAAGTTTGGCCTTGGATGTCACTTGATGTGTTCCTTTGGATTTTTGTTGGTTGGTTTGATTTTGTGTAAAACAGCACCTGTTTTATGGGGCTGATAGGACAGTATCTGCAGTTCAAGGGGCTTCGTGTTGCACAGTTGGTGCCCTAGTGCAGTTTTCTAAATTTTTGCCCTTTATTCATTTACAGTTATTTGCTGCCATCTAATGTTGACATGATAGCAGTGAAGTTCCTAAAAGAACTTTGTTGGCTAAATACATCAATTGAGATTGCCCTAGGCTGTGTAACTAATAACTGTTCAATTTTTTATGCAGTTGGCTCCGGATCACCTCACTGGCTGTAAAATTTGTTAGCAAAATGCCCGTGGGATTTTGTAGTAGTAGTTGTGGCTAGTGCCACAGGAGACCTAATGTATGGGTTTTGATGGAAAAATTACTCAGCCTGAAAGCATTTGTTAATACTTTGTCATTTCACTAGCATGTTTGTTTACTTTTTGAGTACATCTCACCCTTTATCCTAACTCTCTTTTGAAAATTGCTTTTTCATCACTGACATTGATCAGCATGCAGCTTTATTTCTGTATTTTAAATAGAAATTACCATCAGTGATTCTGTGGATGATGACTGTGTAGTAAAATTGGAAAAATGGAAAGGAATGGATTGTATATGGAAAAATACACTACTTCAGTTTTACTGGGAATCTGCCAATATTACTGATGGGCTTAATAGGATCTCAGATGGAATATTAACATTTCTCAAAGGAAGGTTGAGCAGAACACCCGAAGCGGAGTTGATTTGAGGCTCATTCTATACAGAACTGCATGTCCAGGCTTGTTGACATGCTAATCAACTATCATACCAGTCATGCACACCCAGTTACCTGTTGAAGTTGTTTCCTTTTTGAAAGGAAACTGGGTGAAAGTAAGCAAGGGCTGTAATCATTTATTTTGTTTCTCTCCCTGCTATTCATTACAGTGCTGAAGACAGGTCATGTTGCACTGGCAACATCACCTTCATGTCCCCCCTGGTGTAAGTGTGGGGGCTTTGCTGTGCTTAGGATCAAACTGATGAGAGAGATGTTCAGAACTCAGGCTTCAGTGTTTCACAGTGAACTTAATGAAGCTCAAGGATATTTTCCCTCTTGGGGATTAAAACCTCTTTCTCTCTTCCCCTTCCCTTTCCTTCCCCTCTGTACTGAGTGACTGACTATAAATTGCCATACTTCCAGTCTAACGTACGTTCTTTCCAAGTGTGTATATGCACGTATACATACGCACATATGCCAGGCTAGGCAAAATAAATGCTTATGCACTGTGGCTCAGATCTTTCTTGGCTGTAGTAGGAGGCTTTCAGGTAAAATAGATGTAGTGCAGATATGAGACCAGTGTAGAGGATTCCTAACTTAAGGCAGTTCTTACATGAAGTGTATCTGCAGTTGGCAACTTTTTTTTCTGAATGAATCTCACCTTGTATCACCTGTGAACCCTGCCAGAAATTATAGTATGCATCTGGGCAGGACACAGCATTCCTGAAATAGCTCTTGTCCTTAGGAGGCAAGGTCCTTGCTTCCCTATCCAAAAAAGTATGAATGCTTTTGTAACTTCTGGATTGGTTTACTGTTGCATTATTTGAGTGGTAGGGTTGGCAAAAGGGAGGTGCGGTGAATGAATTGTCAAGGTGAAAGGAAGAAGACAGGAACCACAGTAGTGCAGATTTAGACCGTGAAACCAACTCTTCACTGAAAAACACCTCAAACCACTTTCATCTACAGCTGAGATGGTCTTCTGAAGCATATGAGTATGCTCAGTTAATTATACTTTATGCTACTGGGATACAAATTGCTGGTAGAAGGCTTAGGGAGATGGCAGATGAGAAAGTGTAATGTCTCAAAATGCCACAACTATTTCAACAGTGCAGTAACCTGATCACCTGAGATCAAGGTATTAGAGATCTTCAGTGGTGTTCAGGGCGATTTAGTTTTTCTAACTGCGTACTCTTAACATAATGAAAGAAAAATCTAGTTTGCACTGCATCAGCCTTGGAGACAAAGTTCTTGACTGCCTTGGCCCTTAAACTAGTTTGGTCAGATTTTCAGATGGATTTGACAAGATTAGATGTACACCTTGTTTCAGAACTTCGAATCAAAGTGAAATTTAATCAAAATGGAATTGTTATTTCCTGAATGTTGTGAGCAAATGATATCCACAACAGTTTGAAGTAATGTTTAATTTATAGCAGCTCCCTAGCAGTGGAGTTAATGAGATAATCTTTCTTGTGTTTTGAGATCCCTAGCATTATTTAGTTGACTTAACAACTTAATGAAAAAGATGTTGATGTTGAGATTTTTTAGGATTTTTGTCACTTGAAGGAGGAATCTGATGTATGAACAGCTGTACCTCGAGTTCCAGGATATCAGGTATGCTGAATCAGAGGCCTTTGTATTGGTGTCACTGAATGGTTGAGTGGCTCTGACACTTCAGCCTGCAGAGGGAGATAGTCTCCAGCACCCAGGTCAGAATGGCTATGCAAATTCTCAACATTCACAGTTCAATTGTAGGTTGTCCACCCTGTGGAGAAAGTAAATTGATTTGGTTGTATTTGGCGGGGGGGGGAGGAATATCTTCTTTTGGAGCCCAAACTGACAGTAATGGCCTTGCAAATTCTGGACAGTCCTGCGGCCTGGCCCCATGTATTTTTAAGAACTGATTCACTATTGTGCAGCTGCGTGCAAGCGGACAGACGTAGACACCCTAAATAATTAGGTAGGTGAGTTGTTTGCTGGGAGTAGAGTCAGAATTTTCAGCTTATAAGGCAATTGCTCTATCCTTGTAAGCAATAAAGAA